CTATGTAGGTTTAGCTTAGCGGATGTGGCGTCAACTTTGTAGCTTGAACGTACGGAGTTCAATTCTTCGAGTCTTCAGATTTTTCATAAATTGTTTATGTTTATGTTTTAGCATTTAATATATCTACTTTTTTCAATTAAGAAATAATAATAATAATTAAACAATTAATTAAACTGAAATGTCATTTCTTTTAACAGGCCCGGTACCACACTGGTTGTTTTTTAGTACTTGCCCGGTACAGCTCTGAAGGAATTATTCGTACCGGCCCGGTACAAATCCGACAATTTACCGGTACCAAGACGGTACAAATGACGGTCTTATGCTGGTACCGCTACGGCACTCATAATCCGCCGTTGTAAATCCCGGGCATGTAAGTATAAATAATTTTTTCAGAAAATTATGGCCACGAGAATGAGAATTTGACTAACCGAAACATGATTTTCCCCATACCGATTTCTCTCCATTCCCTATAAAGGGACCTATGGCCACAAAAGAGAATTTTACAGGGGGAGTGTTTAAAGCGACGCCATGCGCAGAAAACCCGTGTATTTATGAGCACATGCTTAACTTGCGGGCTTTATATTATTCAAACTATTTAAGTTTTTCAACTTTTGATTTTTTCATGTGAAAGAGCAAAAGAAAACCTATCGAATTGTACTAAAATCTCAAAATCGATTTTTTTATCGATAGGTCCCTTTTCTCGTGTCGCGTCATATGTAACTAATCACTATTAGAAGCAGTATTTCGAGTGGAATGTAAACTATTGATAATTTTTACATTTTTTTATGGATCACGAGAATAATTCTAATGAATATTTCTTCCCTCACATCACCGGTATATTCAGGATATCCCAGAGACGTCCTAGGGATATCGATTTTTTTGCGACAATTTGGACATCTCTAGGATATCCCATGTATATCCAAATTGCCGCAAATAAATCGATATCCCGAGGACGTCCCTGGGATATCCTGAATATCCCGGTGCTCTGAGGGTTAAATAAGATTTAAAATAATGTTTAAAGTATTTTAACGACAGTATAATGCTCAACTATATTTGAAAGTACTATTGCAGTGTAACTTTGTCATTAAACACTGAAAAATTAATTTTATTTAATTTAAACGTTCAAAGTCACAGATCACGAAAATGAGTTTTACAATTTCTATTAAAAATAAAGTCAATTTACTGTCAAAACTCCCTCGTTTCTAGAACTACCTAAGAAGCAATGCTATATCTACTACTACCAAAACCTCTGAAATTAAGATACTTCTTTTTGCAATGAAGGGTTCAAACTAGTTACTTAAATGTAACAGGCAACAGTTTTGTAGTAATGCTTATTTATAGAAGAATATTTTAAATAATAGTATAGTCTGAGAAAATGGTCCTCGAAAAGATTAATGCTTAGAAAATAGTAGTGATTCTCCGGGTTCATTTGGACAAGAGGATCGGTATCAAAGAAAATTCTGGGGAATGGAGCATGTCCTGTCTTTACAGGACAAAGAGGCCACTCCTAAAAGTGATCCATCATCGTAACAATTAGATGGTGTTGGTTTTTTAACCTTATAAACCGATGTCGTAGGAAGTGTGGGTGTATGACACTCGCTTTCTTGAAAGATAATTCAACGACCGATTGTATTAATGAGAAAGGCATATTTCAGGTTTAACATAGTAAATATACGATTTTATTAGTTACTCTACTCCTTTGTTCTCCACTTTTTAATATCTTTTCATTCATTACATGTTTTTAGATTTCCTTTTCTGGTTATATTCTTTCACATGTGATACATTTTCTTCAAACAAGTATAATTAAATATTGAAATTAATTAAGCTGGTATTTTTTATTTTTTTATAGAAGACTTTTAAATTGACAGTTGTACATTAGGGTCTTAAAAGTACCATTTCAATATTTTGTCAATGTAAAAATTATATGACAAATGTACCCATTCATAAAAGTTGGAGGTGTGCCAACACTAACGACCGGCATGGTACCGACCCGGTTGTAAAGTCGGACTTATGCCGGTACCGTCAAAAAAGTACCGGGCCGGATTTGAAATAACGACCGGCCCGGTGGTAAATGTGGACATGCATCGGTACTGATAATATGTACCGGGCCGGTTGATTAAAAATATCTGGCCCAGCACCGGCCCCGTACTATAATTTAGTTCTGTTTTTATACCGCCAAAGAAGATTTTCCGGTGATAATATTTTCACGGGCCAAGCACCAGGTGGAAAAGACGGACTTATACTGGCACATGCGTAGTGGTAGTACACGGAGAAAAAGGAATAGTTAACACATCCAGATACATGGATATCACGGCCATATTATATTGAAAAATACGGGATATCCATAGTTAAGGTTGCTGCATCCATATTCTATGGCTGGCTGTATATTGTTAAAGCAGCAAAAGATCTATGGTTGGGTGATCCATAGTAATGGAAATGGGAAACAAAAAAATTTGAATCACTCAATTAATTAAATTCCATGTCACTTGAGATATTTCATACACATTTTTGTTAATTAATTCACACCACTTATTGAATAACCGCATATTTATGAAATAAATTATTAACCGATGGGGGAGACACGAACCCTAGACCTAACGCATACTAAACACTAACGCTATCCACTACACTATACACGCAACTACAATATTTGAGCATATAATATTCCTTATATACTCTACACATATTTCATGAAAATGAAATTACATAAACACAAATAGACAATAACGATAATAAATAATAAACAATTGTAACACTATTTATACACAATAAACTCACAACGCGATTATATAGACGTGACAGGAAACCGACGCGACGGACAAATTGAGACGACCATTTTTAAATGGATGCCATGATAATGAATTGCGCGCAACATGTATCGAAATTTTGAACTAACTATGGATCTCCCAACCAAAGTTTATATGGATGAGGCAGCCATATGTGAAAATCCATAGCCTGAATTGTAAGCCCAACCATGCCTATGGATGTCACATCCATATTTGATTCAACAATATAATATGGCTCCCTCATCCATTGAATATGGAATGTGCTTCCATTCTGAAAGTTGTCTCTTCCATTGAATTGGATAACACAACAATATTCTGCTCAACAATATTTTTATGGATATCTCTTCCAGACCTTTTCTTTCCGTGTAGTAGCCCGGTACCACACCGGTTGTTTTTTAGTGCCGGTACCGCCCCGGCATTTATAAACCGCTATTTGTATCGGGCCGGTACCATCCCAGTCGTTAAATTCTACATGGGTAGCAAAAGGATATTAAATTGATTATAACAATGACTTTAATCCCATGTGGGGCCATTCATTAATTACGTAAGGACGATTTTAGGCAATTTTGACCCCCCCTCCCCATGTAAGGATACATAAGATTTCTCGGACCCCCTCCCCCTTCTTACGTAAGAATATACCACGAGCTTGCCTCACAAGCGTCGAATAATGAAATATCGTCAAAAATAGTTTAGGGACACTTTTTTGAAAGTCGAAATTTTATCTGTTCTTCAAAAATCGCCTAAATTTTATTTACAGTCGTTCAAAAGATGGGTGGCCATCTTGGCCATCTTGGCCATCTACCCTAATTAATTAAGCATTTTTAATAAACAAATAAATAATAGAATTGTTTATCTTATAGGTAATTCTTTATTTTTTATGCAGTTTACTAATAAAACCTTTTAACATATTTCATTCTAAAGTTAAAACAATAAAATAACACCTTTAAATTATTTAAACAATTTTAATTAACAAATGCCTCATATTGTTAGTTTTTACAAGGAAGTAATCATTTTTTACACAATGTAGGAAATTTAGTTAATTGCGTTTTTTATTTTTATAATTATCAAGATATATATACCTAATTATATGCAACCTGTTTGACGTCTCGGTCATCGTTAAAAGTCGGTGAAAAATATAATATTTCGGGGAATGGCGTAATGGATTCGGAGAGTGGGTTGAATTGGGGAAAAATCTTTTCGCGATATCAAATAGTCGCCCCTCTAATTCTCTTTCTCATTCGCTTCCCAAAATTGATCAAAGAAAATCCGCGCCATACGCGAAGTCCGATGCCGTAGACCTCAAGGTAAAATTTGACAATCTTGATACAGTTTCTTTTTATTATTTAAATAATTTTGTATTGTTTATTTATTTTTGTATTGTTTAAATTTTAATTAGTATAGCGCTTTTAATAATGCGATGGGCGGAAATATTATGTCAGGTAAAATTACGGAACAGAATGGAGAATTAGATGGGCGATTCTTAGTGATCTGCAGTTCTGTAAAGTGCAGTACAATCCAGGTCAATTCACTTGAGATTTGAAAAAAGGGAGGAAAACTACGAGACCTCAACAACATTTTGGTGTACAAAAAAGACCTAATACATTCTGCGAATCCACGCCGTTCGACATTTCCCGCCAATGAAAAGAAGCGATGAGTATTTTACTTATATTTGTTTTATCTGTTTGAAAATCCGTTTTATTTATTTATTTATTTTATATGATTGTGATATATTTTTGTTTGATAATCGTTTTTTATGTCCTAAAGTATTATTTGTTTTAACCCTTTCAGTCCCAGTGGTCGATATATGGGCAAATCCACAGAACTGGTAGATTTTCGCTTATAAAGATAAAAAATTTTAATTTGCAAGCACACCTATCATTTATGGTTTATTTTTCTTGAAATTTATTTGAGAACAATTATCACCTTGCGTGATTAGATTTATTAAAATGCCGTCAAAGTTACAAACCAAAAACGAAAACAAAATTTTTGTTAAGGAAATCAAAGTTAAAAATGCATTTTATTCTATATATTATTGTAATTTTTACAAAATATTTTAAATCAAAGTACACTAAGAAGTAATAATATTAATAAAAATAGAATTGTTCTTTTCTTAAATTAATCTTTCGTTTTAAAACATTATTTTTGTTTTTTTAATACTCTATTCTTCTTTGTCCCAACTTTTTTATTTGTGTAATTTTAACGAATTTTTAGTTTTTAAACTTGTCTTCTTTTAGAAGCAGGAGTAGCAGGGTTTTTTAGTTTGTTAACTTTTTTTCTGTTAGAAGCAGGAGTTGCAGGAGCACCAGGAGACGCAGAAGTCGTGGGAGCATCAGGAGTTGCAGCAATAGTAGGATACGCAGGATTATTTCGTTTGTTAACTTTTTTTCTGTTAGAAGCAGGAGTCGAGGAAGCATCAGGAGTAGCAGGAGTCGTAGGAGCATCAGGAGAAGCAGGAGTCGCAGCAATAGTAGGATACGTTGGATTACTTCGTTTGTGAACTTTTTTTCTGTTAGAAGAAGGAGTCGCAGGAGCATCAGGAGTCGCAGCAGGATTATTTTGTTTCTTAACTTTATTTCTGTTAGCAGCAGGAGTCGCAGGAGCATCAGGAGACGCAAAAGTCGTAGGAGCATCAGGAGAAGCAAGAGTCGCAGCAGTATCAGTAGACGCAGGATTATTTCGTTTGTTAACTTTATTTCTGTTAGCAGCAGGAGACGAAAAAGTCGTAGGAGCAGGAGTCGAAGGAGCATCAGGAGTAGCATGAGTCGTAGGAGCATCAGGAGAAGCAGGAGTCGCAGCAATAGTAGTATACGTAGGATTACTTCGTTTGTTAACTTTTTTTCTCTTAGAAGAAGGAGTCGCAGGAGCATCAGGAGACGCAAAAGTCGTAGGAGCAGGAGTCGAGGGAGCATCAGGAGTAGCAGGAGTCGTAGGAGCATCAGGAGAAGCAGGAGTCGCAGCAATAGTAGTATACGTAGGATTACTTCGTTTGTTAACTTTTTTTCTCTTAGAAGAAGGAGTCGCAGGAGGCGCAGCAGGATTATTTCGTTTGTTAACTTTATTTCTGTTAGCAGCAGGAGTCGCAAGAGCAACAGGAGTCGCAGCAGGATTATTTCGTTTGTTAACTGTTTTTCTGTTAGAAGCAGGAGTCGCAGGAGCATCAGGTGACGCAGAAGTCGTAGGAGTATCAGGAGAAGCAGGAGTCGCTGCAATAGTAGGATACGTAGGATTATTTCGTTTGTTAACTTTTTTTCTGTTAGAAGCAGGTGTCGCAGGAGCATCAGGTGTAGCAGGAGTGTCATCAATCGCAAAAGTTTTTTGTTTATTAGCTTTTCTTCTGTTAGAAGCAGGAGTCACAGGATTTTTTGGTTTATTAACTATTCTTCTGTTAGAAGCAGCAGTAGAAGGAGAATCAGGAGTAGCAGGAGTCGTATCAGTTGCAAGAGTTTTTTGTTTATTAACTTTTCGTCTGTTAGAAGCAGCAGTAGCAGGAGTCTTTTTCTTTTCCTCAAAAGAGCAACTATTTGGAGTTAAAGAAAAATGGCAACATGGATGACTATAAAGGCCATTATTCACACAATACGAACAAGTTAAATAATTTAAAAAGAGACTTTTTTCGTTTTGTTGAGACCAAAGAATTTGGAAAATCTTAGTGGTGTTTGGAATAGCTTGAATTTGTGGTTCCACTAGTGAATCCATTTTTTCCATATTGGTTTCAAGTATTTTAAAGGCTCGAATTTTTTGTGATTCCAAAGAATTTATAATATTTATCATTGATTCTGCAGTAACGATATCCTTTCCTTGTGCCACTGCTCTATCACATAGTCCCTTTACTGTGCCTCCAATTCCATCTGCAGTGCTTTTTCCATGTCCAGGCGATGAGAAATTCCACGTAGCATGTTTTAAATTCAACTCCTTGCAGTGATGTCGAAACAAAAAAAAATTTGTTTTGTTTCTGTATTGGGTTGAAGGCCCGTCACTTTGAAAGTGTAGTGCAGAAAAATTAGGAACTTTTTCTTCAATTAATTTCAAAATTGGTTCCAAATGTGCCCACACTGATGCTGCATCATGCCTTAAACATTCAGAAATAGTGCAAAACGAATTGCACAGTACTTTTCCGGAAGATTCATTTAGATAATAAAACGCACCAGTGTGTAGAGATAGTTGTTTTTTGGATGCACCAAAATGCTCGCTTTGTATTTCATTATTATATTTACAAATATAATTTTGCGAAAAATCGATAACGATGTAAACTTCGTTTTGTTGTAGATTGTTTTGGATATTTTCTAGAGCCCTGAACTGATGACCAGTAACGAACACGTGATGCAAATAATGTGGAATAGCTGAATTTACTGCTTCTACAAATTCCTTTACAGTGCAGTTGATTCTTTCTTTTGACGTTATTTTAACGTTGTAAGTGAGCCCTTTTGCTCCTAATCTACTAACGTTTTTAGTCTCCCACTTGAAATACCACGTAGAATCATCATTTTCTTCTACCGTCAAATTTTTTACTGCACAGTCCTTGCAATTTCCATAAAAACAGTCTTTATTTTCGACATTACAAACTAATGATTCCACAAATGATAACGACGAATTGCTAGTCAAAAGATGCAAGGAATGCAATCTTTTTATCATAAAAGCCATATTGGTGTGATCTTTGCATAAACATGTATCACGACCAGTGACTTCATGTTTAACAATCCAAAACGGTTTCGACTTATAAAACGATCCTCTAGAAATTTTAACTGATTCCTGTTTTTCAAATTTTTTGTATAAATTGTCCATTGAATCTAATAAAAACCTCTTTCTTTTAGCAACTTTATTTTTCGTAATCGTATCTTTCACTCCTGGAGCCATAACCGAATTTTCATCTTTTTCTAAAAATTTTTGAACGCGTTCCAGTATTTGTGCTTTTGTAGCAATTTTTTTAGTACGAGACTTTTCAAAATTAAGTGATTTCGAGTTTGCGTATTTCTTTTGAGTCTTTGTAGAGACTAAGTGTTTCATGCTATTCATGAGTCTGTATTTCTTTAACACTTTGCCTGCTAAACATTGTGAGAAAACTGATCGTTCTTTCTCGCCCTTCAATGACAATTGTTTTTCTTTTAATTGTTGAATAAATGCCTCATGAAGGAACAATTTTTTTCTAATTTCCTTGGACCCTTTATGCTCAATTTTCTTAACGCTTTTTAGGACATTATCTTCATTTTTATTTAGTAACCTATGATATTTCATTTTCCATTTACTTATCGTTGCATTTTTCCTCTTTATAACTTCATTCAGTTTTTTATTTTCGCGACGTAATTTTTCTTCTCTAGCTCTTGTAAGTTTGATTGTTTTATTTAGGCGTTCAATAATATTTTGCTTCTTATTTTTGTAAGACTTCGTCCTATCGAGATCAGGATTTGATATGATTCTATAATAAACAAATAGTAAACTTTTTATAATAAGAAAAAAAATTATGTTTTGAAAACTAATTATTTTATATAAATGTCAAGAAAGATTAAAAAAAATTTAATTTTTATTTATAATATTTGTTTTTCATAATTTTAAGAAAATTAAATGAACTTACAGCTTATTTGAATCATTTTGACTCTCATATTGACAAGAGTGTTCTCCATTTTCATTAAATGAGTGATCTTTCGAAACTTGTACTTTTAAATTATTCGTGTTTTCAGGATTAACATTTACTGCTTCACAATTTTTTGCAATTTCACTGTCAGGTTCTATTAATCCCTCATTTTTTTTTTATTTAATTTTCGTCTTTTACTCAACGTTTCTTCAATATCAACATTTGATGGTGATTTTTCAACAATATCGTTTCTAAAGAGTTCAAAAGTTTATTGTAATTGGAAAATTTCACTATTTTTTTCTAATGATAAGAAATATTTACAATTTCTTCAAAATTAATTTTATTTTATCTACTTTCATTGCAAATTTAAGTAAACTTACAAAGTGTTTGAGTTATTCTTCATTTTTTCTATTCGCTTTTCATCGTGATATTTTCTTTTGCGATGCAGTTCCTGAACTCGAAACGCAGCAAGACTCTCACGCTTCTTACGTTGTTGCTCCCTTTTCAATAACAATTTTTCTCCTTCTGTCATCTCCACTAATTCATCAGCTTTTAAAGTAAAAATATATTACAAATATGATTCTGTGCTAATATGCAAAATTTCCCCGAATATTTTAATTTACAAAACTATTTACTTACTCATTCTGTTATCTGTTTTTTATTGTAGGTTAAATTATTTTAATAATTATTTCAACTAAAAAACTAACACTGACACTGATATTAGTACAAGTTTGAAAATAGAACAAATGAAAGGTTATTTTATTTTTCATATTGATTAATACCTTCATGATGAACCAGTTAAATTTCTATTAATTATTAGTTATTTTTTAATTTTTAGACATTATAAATTGAAAATATAATTTGGCGTTTATGTATAAGAATTATAATAATGCCTTTAAATAATCACACATGTTTTCAACTTATTATATTTTCTCCTGTATTTGTGCTACTAAAAAAAGGCTAAGTTTAAAATCGTTCACGATCAAACATTGAGTGATAATTATTGTAATATTTTCTTTAATTCTTATAGCACATTATTTTATGATACCTAGATTTGTTTGTCTATTGCAGAGAAATGAGCACCAATTTAAAAAATTCAAATCGAATCACCGCCGTAAAAGATATTTAAAAAAATGTATAGGCGATTCATTATTTTAAAATAATGAGTAACGCAACTTTCAACGACTACCATTTCTTTTTAATTGAGAGCACATATTTTTTTATGCTTTCAATATATTCTACAATAAGTAAACTATAATCTCCCATCGTTTGGAATTGTTTCGATCTATGCCAAACAAGATATACTAAAAAGAATTGAAATTTATACCTAGAGTAACACGGCAAATTTCATTTTTTAAGTTACTTAACTCTATTTTACTATTTATTATAGGCAAGAAGGTTTCCATTTATTCAATTTTCTTAGTTTAATAGGTTCTCATAGATATTATAGAATGGTAGAAAAATGAAAATTATTAATATAATACTTTTAAAATAGAAAAATCTGTGTGTAACATGAAATCGAACGGTTCTGTGGATTCGCCCATATATCGACCACCTTTTAAGGCACCGATTTTTTTAACATAACTTAAAGGAAAACTTTAAATAATTGCATATTTTTTATTTTTATGTTTCTACAAATAGGGTTTAGTAGTTTTTTAACAAATTAATCTATATTATTTATGTTTTTTGATATTAACAAACTTATACACGGCAACGCATTATTTCAGGTTAAACTTTACTGTAATAAAATTAAATCAGTAACATATACTTTAAATTATGGTTGTTTTCTAAATTCTCGGGGTTTGCTGAATATTAACCTTTAAAGTGCTAAGTGTTGAAAAATCACGCTCAGTGCTAACCCCGGTCTGTCAGACCGCTATTCCCTTTTGACAGTTTTTTAGTCATTTATAATTTTTAAAAGACAACTATTATAAATATTTTTTACTTTTTAACAAAAAAAGTCATTTCTGTATTATGCATTTATTTATTTTATTTATTTTATAAATGCAGTCTATGAGAACTTTCAGTAGGACTAGCTGCGCGTCAAGTTGCGCAGACGTTACTCATGGGAATATACTGGAATATACATTCACTTAAAGCTAACCCCGGTCTCACAGACCGCTATACTTCAAATATTTATTTATATTACAAAATTTAACGAATAAAATTTTTTGAAAAATTTGTCTCCTAACAGATTTTCATAAAATATGAAGCTACTAAAAATTTGAAGTTCTTATTATACTTTGAAAAAAAGTTTCAAGCAAAGAAAATTTTAATAGCGGTCTGTCAGACCGGCATAGCACTTTAAAGGTTAATCCAAAATCAGATATGCAAATTCAAAATGGTGGATCCAATATAGCGGACAAAAATTAAAAATTAAACAAATTTGCTTTAAAATTGTCTCTCGGGGGTTTTTGGGGTCGCTGATGACGAATCTAAAGTCATTTTTTAAAAATTCAAAATACTGGATCCATAAATCCATATGGCGGACATAAAAAGTTTCGAAATTGGAAACACCCTCTTCTTTTTTAATACGGGCTTGGGACCGGCAATGGCAGAGTTTCATCTCTTTTTTAAAATTTTTTTTTGTTTTTTTAAACGTTTCAAATGTTTTTAAAAAACTTTTAATACTTTTATTAATTTTGTTTATTTTTGGAATATCTTTATATTCAAAAAAACGCAAAAGACGCAAAAGACAATAGAAACGAAATATAAAAGACGAACGACAAAAAAAACAAAAGAAAATCAAGAGAGAAAAAAGGGACAATGGCAAACGACAAAAAACAGTACTTTTCTCCTATTTTTCATATTATTTTTGTAATATTCGTAGCATTAGATTCGCCATTTAAAATTTTGCAAGAATGATTCCAGATTTGTATTTACACACCCCGAAAACTTCCAAGAAGCAGCATTCAGTCCTATATTGTCAATTTTCAATTTTTGACTACCCTATTGTATCCATTATTTTAAAGTTAGAAAAACTGACTTCTGATTCGTAATAAGTGATCTAGAAAAAATCTAAGCGGTAATTTTCAAACAAATTTGATGGATTTTTTATTTCTTCGTCCAACATATTGAATCCTCCATTTTTAATTTTAATAAACTGACTTCAGATTCAGAGACTTCAAAAACCTCC